TTGAGAGCAAGAAAAATGAGTCTTAAGTTTGCAAGCGACCTATATTAGACCGAAGTTAACTAATGAAGTTGGAATTTGGAAACAGATTGGCCTTTTAAACTTTCTTGGCCCTCCCTGGTGGTGCAGCAGGTTAAGGCACAGCACTAAGAAGCTAAAGCCACTTCTGAATAAGTTCAATCCCCGCCCCGGAGGTGACCACATGACGTGGCAGACCTCTCCTGACCCGCCCGCTGCTCCCCTCAGCAGTGTACTTCGTCGATCGTCGATCTGCCTGTTCTGCTTCCCACTCTGTCTCCGGTGAATCCTCTCACTTCCCCTAAGCCTCTGTACCCCAGTTCTTATGCATAAATAAATAAATCTAAAAAAAAAAAAAAAACACCAAAACTTTCTTACTTACCTTTTACTCTGTTTCAGTGAGCTAGATAGACTTACGTTTGGAGAGAAAGAGAAGAGAGATGATTACAAAGTGAATTTTTAGAGCCACTGTGGGTACCCAGCCTTCCACACCTGCCCTTCCCAAGGCTCATTCCCTCCTGTTATTCTTGCTCTCTGCACCATTATATTCCTTCATAGTACCTACTCTAATTTAAAACAAAATGTGTATTCTAAATGTGTTTACTATTTGGTTCCCATGACAGTGTTTAAGTTCTATCAATATGGAGATGAATTCTGCATTATTCATATTTGTGTTACTCAGAGACAAATCTATCATATGCACTCAAACATTAAATGAATTAAAAAAAAAAACTTTGGACAACTTTCTAAAGTTGTTTTCATTATCCTCCTGTAACAGATGCAAAACCTAAATCCACAGATGCAAATTGACTGGCCCAAATCCACTCAATGAGTGAAAATTAGATGGGGAGGAATTTCAGCTCTATGTCCAAACCTCTGTGACTCACTATATAACTGTGACTTGTCTTGATCTTTTCCAATATAAACTACTCCAAATCAAGAATATTTTTGATTGCATCTCAAACAACAGATCACAAATAGGTCTGAGGAATCATCATAAATTCCTTTTCAAAAACATGTCACCCTGCCATGTCCAGTCTATGGCTATTTCCATATTACTAGCAAATTCCTACAACTCATTCTCCACATAAAAAGGGTAGTAGCTATAAAATGGAGTGTCTTTATTATTTAAGACACTCATGAAATTTTTAAAGAAAATGTAACATTCTTGTTTCAAACTTGAGAAGACTCGGTGCATTGACTATTAGCTCTTCCGCTGAAATAAGTGAACTCACAACTCAACATAACAGATGAATAAATGAGCCGTGGAGAGCCTGGTGAGATTCTCTCTTTTCTCCCACAGAAAATGACTCTCTCCACAGGGAGGTCAAGTCATAAAGCTTCAAAATCATGAAATGATCAAGCACATATTCTTCCATTCAGCATTCCTAATTTTCTAATGGTTTGTCTAAACCATTCAACCAAAAGCTTTTCCGAGGTTAAAACTGAAAAACTTGTGATGCTAAGTGGTTTATTGAAGCCAGTGTGCTGGGGGTTCTTGCTCATCTGACTTGTAATGTATACAATGTTTGGGGAAGAGAGAGGCAGGAGGAGTGGAAGGAGAGAGTGCTATAAAGCTGTGTGAAGGGGCCTTCTGATCACTTGATTGAAGTTAACAGAGGGTAGATTCAGGCTGGGCGCTAAAGTCACTTGCTCACACACAGAGAAGAGAGAACTCCAGCTCCTGCCTCCTGGCTGCACAGGTCAGGACCTTGAGAGAGAGGAAGAAAAGCTTAAATGTGCATGTGGTAGAACCCCAAGGTGAGACATGGCGCGATTCTCGTAATGCTACCCACTTGCAATGGAGCACTAAGGACCCTCTGGGTCTGAAATCCAGCTCAAGTCCCGATTCTCTGCTACTGGGGCAAAGGGACCCCTTTGCATCCTATTGCATCTCAAACAACAGATCACAAATAGGTCTGAGGAATCATCAGAAATTACTTTTTGAAAACATTTAAGATGTTGCCCTGCCACATCCAGGACTGTGGCTATTTCCCCTACCCATTCCATATTACCAGCAAATTCCTACAACTCGTTCTCCATATAAAAAAGACAGTAGCTATTAAACGGAGCTCTCAGCCTGGACAAAGAGAATAGTAATTTTTATGCTAGCTAATATATACTGAGTTTGTTCCATGTACCAATCACTGTTTTAAACTCATTCTCTATCAGCCCTTAAATTCAACCTCATAAGTCTAGAGATTTAATGCATATAGGAGCTTGTGGGTCTTAGAACAGACAATGCTCAATCAAAGCAGTGTTATTTAGAAAATGATGAAAGAAGGCTCTCCATGATGGTGCAACAGGTTAAAGCATGTTCTGTGAAGCTTTTCAAGCAGCACAAGTTCAATCCTGGGCTAGGGAGCTGACCCATATGGTGAAGCAGTCCCCTCCTGACCCGCCCGCTGCTCCCCTCAGCAGTGTACTTAGTCAGTTGGCCTGTTCTGCTCCCCACTCTGTCTCCGTGAAGCCTTTCACCCCCCACACCTCTGGCCTGCACCTCAGTTCTGTAAGCATAAATAAACAAATCTTAAAAAGAAAACAATGAAAGACTATAAGTGACAATGGAAGCAATATACTCTAAACATTAGTTGAATACGAAGTATATTTATTTCAATTATCGACCTCAATAATTTTAAGTTCTGATGAATAAGAGTCATTTTTTAAAAAGATTTATTTATTTAAGCATACAAAGCTGGGGTACAGGTCATTGGTGCAGGGGTGGTGAGAGAATTCACCAGAGACAGAGAGGGGAGACACTCTATGCCAAGGACATGGGATAACCAAGTGCAAAGATCTTTCTAGTGTTTTCTGTTGGTTGAAAAACAAGTCTATAAAGCTGTCGACATTTTCCTCATTTCTAGACCAGGACATAGCAAGGACTTTATATCTTCTTAATTTTATTTACTTTAGAAGTAGGTGGCCAAATACCCTTAAAATAGAAGATTGGGCCCTCCCTGGTGGTGCATTGGGTTAAAGCACAGCACAAAGAAGCTAAAGCCACTTCCGCGTGAGTTCGATTTCCGCCTGCCCCGGAGGTGACCACATGGCGCGGCAGACCTCTCCTACCCGCCCGCTGCTCCCCTCAGCAGTGTGCTTCCTCAGTCAGCCTGTTCTGCTCCCCAATCTGTCTCTGGTGAAGCCTCTCACTGCCCCTATACCTCTAGCCTGTAGCCCAGTTCTGTACGCACAAATAATCTTCAAAAAATAAGAAGAAGAATTCTTTTCTAACAGTTTTACAATAATGATTAAATTAAAAAGTAAAAAAAAAAAGAATGAAAATTAGACTTTCAGTACTGTACATAATGAATGAGTATACATAGATACTGATTTATAATTCCCTACAGCTGAAACCTATAGGCTGTTAAAACAAATTACATCAGTACAGTTTTTTTTATACCAAAATAAAATAAAGCTAATAAAACTGTTTTCATTTATTTTTACCTTATATTAAGAATTAAAACGTATTATTAAAATAATTTTAGTAATAATAAATTATAGGTACAAAATAAACAACAGTAAATAATAAGCATCATGTTCATAGCAGTTTTCCAAAACAAACATCTTCGTGAAAAGAGAGATTTCATTTTTCATTGTTCCCAAATCTCCTTAATACATCATTTCAAAGAAGACAGCTGGGTCCTCTTTTGCATTCAGCCTGTTTTGGTATCGCATCATCACACCCCCTGTCCATGAAGAGATAGCCACTGGGGACCCAGGAGAATGAAAGGGACAGATAATGTCTTAATATGATTAGGGAAACAGTTTGACCCCTAAAAGAAATTACGGACTCTGAAGTCTTTCTTAAACCTCAAATTTTAAGAAGCCCCATTTAGATAAATTTTAAGCCAATGGAGATTTTCCATCACCAACATTCATTTGCACAAATAATTCAAGTTCATTTCCTGCTCATCCGTAAAGTGTCTCTGCACTCTGGAAAGCATTGGTGAAAATTTGTCATCTCTTGATAACAATAAATATTGAACAGGAAAAAATATAGAAGCAATAGTACTCAACTAAAGCAAAATACTGTAGGAAAAATGTGTCCGAATTATATTTGCTTAACGCAGTATTCAGAGACAAAAATTAATGCATTTTTACATTTTGTAAATGAAATGTAATTAAAGTGTCATTCTATTCTTGTGGCATTAACCAAGCTCATTAAATATGTTATCTTGCTGAAGTGAAGGTAGTTGTCAAATATTAGCCAACGTGCGCCCTAATAAGGCAGAGGGTATCAAAAGAGCATTAGAAATCTTAGAGAGGATGATACGGATTTTATAAAATATTTAGGCAGTGCTAAGACACATTAGAATTTGAATCATTTGGTTATTTATGAAATTTCTTCTTCAAAGTGTTTTAGCTCAGAATGTTTTGGCTCAAATTCCCAGAAAGGAGGAATCTGAAATACCAATTTGGTTTTGTTAATTCATGTATTCAAACTCATCCTGCTTTGCTGTACTGTTTCTACATAAAAATATAGTTTTTGTAATGCACATTTTTAAAATTTAACACAGTACCCTACGTGTTCCAGTAGCTCAGCCTGTTCCACAGATATTTAGCAAAGCAATGAACTAAGGAATCATTTCTGTAGCGATAAAGCACATTTTTTAAATCGGAAATACTGTGTGAAATAACACTCACATCAAGATGAAGCTGAATTTCCTTTGTCAGGTGAACCCGACCCCCGGACCATCCTCTCAGTGCCCAGTACACAGGTGCAGCTACATGACATTGCAGATGTTGCTTTTGATGAGAGGAGAAACATCTGTATTATAACATCGATGTATTTCTCCAACGCCAATCCCTGGTCGGATATCTTCCACGTTCTAGAAGGGCTAGGAGTCCGCGGGTTCCCCCACGCCCCTACTATTCAGATGTTCTGAGGACTAGATAACACCTACAGGTTCTTCAGAAAGAGCTGCTCGTTTAAACAGAAAACCACGCAGATTAGCAGCACTGAGGAGGTGTCTCGGTCCCCTTAGGTCCTTCGCAGCAATAGCCTGCTGGAGTCCACAGACTACTGGATGCAGAATCAAAGGACGCCCTGCCAGATTGGTTTCGTGGAAGACAAGTCTGAAAACTGCGCCTCGGTGAGTAACCTCGCCCCGCGCCCCCAGGGAAAGGTTTGATAAAAAGGGGGTCACCATAGGTTCCTGCTTTAGGAACAAAGGGTCTTAATTTGCAATCCAAGGTTGGGAAAGTAGGTTGTTGAAAATACATGCTGGGTCTATCTGATAACAAAACAGCTTTCAGAGCTCATGTTTCTGCTCCCATTTTCTTCATTTCAACAGGTACATTAATCCGATCTAGTCTCTGAAAAGGATAAATGATATTTATATTTTCAAGTTGGCTGAGAAAAAAGATTCAGAAATAGAGTTTATGATCAGTAGTAAAAGACTATTCAGAAGCTCTGGGATTCTTTTCAATATATTTTTTCCTCCTGCTAGTTGGTATTTCCCAAGATGAAAATTCTGTTATTGTTTTTTCTCCTACCATTCTTAGGAGTTATTGTCATTATTTGAAAATCTTTGCCACCTAACGAGAATACTGGCATGCATATTAGTATTCCGGAGCTGAGTCTTACATACAAAACCCTTCTGTCAAGGGAAGAGATGGTCTGATAGTTAAATATAATTCATAATGACTTTGAGTGTGAATACACATTATTGATGTGAAGTATGCTTCTCCCTATATGCCCTGTATAAGAGATCCATTTCATTTTAACTGAAATCACCTTGCTCTTATAAGCTCATGATTACAGAGGTTAGAGGGAAATAGTTCCAAAGAGGAGAGAAATGTAATTCTCATGGCTAAATTGAGAGCATCAGCTCTGAGCTATTCCTGGAGGTAAGTTGCATGCCAGCATTTCTGTTAAAATTAAAAAAAGGGAGCTGTAAATGGGCTAGCAAAGCTTTTTATACACAGTGAGCAGAACCAGAACTGGACAGAAGACACCTCACGTTGCAGAGCCTCACAGCCAGGAGAGGAGTCAAGGCCACTCCACAGAATTAATTCAGTCTCTGCTTAGGCGCTCCTGTGTCTACCACTTTCAGGATTTTTGATCCTTGTCCAGAAAAGTAGTTGCTATCTAAAAATCTTTGGGGAGTACAAAAACAGATTTAAGTAATTTAACAGTGATGAGGTCTTTGCAAATTCAGTTCCGAATTGAGGCAGAAAATTCAGGCATTTGCTAAGATATCAGCTGTAAGTTGCGAAAAGCAGAGACGTGGAGAGTAAACACCAGAAGTAGCTACGCTTTGCTCAAAGCCACAAGTAGCTTCTGTATTAACATGTCTCCCAGTTGGAGCAACCAAAAATGTCAAGGGCTCTAAAAATTGTATGTTGAAGGTCACAGGAGTCTTCTCTAAACTTTATTTGTAGAGTCTGGTTTGCAGACCCACAATTGGAAATGCTAAATTTACAGCCACACGTCAGACGACCATTCCTAAGTGCAAGAAAACTCATGTACCACCGTCCAGCAACCCCAGCAGACTCAAACTTGGGCTGGAAAGACACAACTTCCCTTCTTCACTCTCAGGCTCTCAGACAACAGTGAGCTTGATTCATCCTGACTTGATAGTTCCTTCTAGTATTCCCAAAGGGCGGGAACATCTGAACACAATAAAAGGCATAAGGGAAGAATTAGACTAATTGAAACTGACACAAAAGTTAAAAATTTTCCATGACTCTAAACCTGACAGGGAACCTGATGGAAATGAACAGAATCACTCGGAAACAGGTCCAGCCGTCACTCTTCTGAATCACCAACTCTTCTTTGACTTTTTTATTTGCCACTGCTTTCTAGGGAGGGAGGAGGGATGAGTGGAGCAGGATATTGCTGAAGAGAAACTGTCACTGGAGAAGTGACATGCGTAATAGACCTGACTCAGCTCTTGATCAAAATAATCCTATGAAAGGAGCCAAGATGGTCAGGCGCAAAGCACTGTTTTCCTTCTCCAAACAAATTCTCCCCTTCAGCTCGAAAATGACAGCGATTTAAAAGGGGAGAGGGATGGAAGACTGTATTGTAAAGTAATATTTGTATTAAATTTTAGTTTACGAAGTTAGTTGAACAAAACATCCCAAACCTAAATATAGTTACAAATAATCACAACAGACTCTGAGATCCTGTAGCAACATATTTTATAGTTTTGTGCCCTATTCATAATCCCCGGGGACCTACTTTACCCTAATCATCACCCCTTTAGCTCATATTCCTGATCCAACTTAGCGATCAACTTTTTCATATGCAGTTTTGATGGCTATGCCATGCCATGTGGTCCCCTCGGGGCAGGGATCGAACTCACAACTGAAGTGGCTACGCACACTTGCAGTGTAGCGCTTTAACCCACTGCGCCACCAGGGAGGGCCCTATAACTTGTTTTTAATTAAAAACAGAGTCCAGGCCCTCCCTGGTGGTGCAGCGGGTTAAAGCACTGCACTGAGAAGCTAAAGCCACTTCTGCATGAGTTCGAATCCCGCCTGCCCCGGAGGAGACCACATGGCGCGGCAGACCTCTCCTGACCCGCCCGCTGCTCCCCTCAGCAGCGGACTTCGTCGATCTGCCTGTTCTGCTCCCCACTCTGTCTCTGGTGAAGCCTCTCACCACCCCTGAGCCTCTGACCTGTACCCCAGTTCTGTATGCACAAATAAATAAATTAAAAAAAAAAAAAAAAGAGTCCATTGTCCTGGACTCTGAATATTTGCCTTCATAGAACTAGGGGACCAGTTTTTGGAATTCAAGATAGCACTTAAGGTTGGCATTGAGGGACAGGCCCAGGCTTGGAAAACTTTCCAGGGGTCCTGTGCTTTCATCTGTGGGTCTGTTTATCCTCTAGCATCAAACCCTGAGTTTTGGTCATGATTGGTTTTTTGGTGATTATTTCACTAGAAAGCTGCATTCATTTCACAGTTACAGTGGGAGAACAGGGAAGGGCAATCAGAGGCAGTGAAAGCATGAAGACTGCCCAATAGCCACGCAGGCCAGGGCTCTGCTCAGAGGCCCTCAGTCACCTGTAAACCTTCTTCAAAGGGGCATCTCTCCTGCCTGCTGGTGACAACACAGGTGCATCCCTTACTTTCTTCTTTCCTTTTAAAATGTAAAAATAAATACATAATTTTTTTTCAAATATGAAAACTATTTTTCCTCTCAATAGGACTCTCCCATCAAGCTATATAATTTTATTTTAGTTTTGATTTTCCATTCTGAAAATAAAAATCACCCATTTACTAACTTTTGAGGTAATTTTTAAACCTGATTATTAAAATGAGGAGGAAATAGGAAGGAGAAAAATACAATTGGAAGCCATTACCCAACAACTGAAATACAGTTTTACATATAGGACTTAACTCACGGGGTGAAAATTAGACTTTTCAATACTTATAACTTTTTTTTAATATTTTTCATATTTATTGATTTATTCATACAGAACTGGGATACAGGCCAGTGAGAGGCTTCACCAGAAACAGAGTAGTGAGCAGAACAGGCAGATCGACTAAAACACACTGCTGAGGGTGGGTCAGGAGAGGTCTGCTGCGCCATGTGGTCACCTCCGGGGCGGGGATCGAACTCACAACTGAAGTGGCTATGCTCACTGGTAGTATAGTGCTTTAACCCGCTGCACTCCAGGGAGGGCCCTATAACTTGTTTTTAATTAAAAATTAATCTAGCCTCTTTTTGATCTGCTATTATTTTTTGTTGTTTACTGAAATTTAATTCTTGATTTTTTCAAGAACTATCTTTCGGCTTCCTGATTCTTTAAAATTATCTTGGCAATTTCTATTCTTTTTATTATTATTACAGTTACTCTCAGACTTCTTTCTGCCTCTTCATTTTAAGACGCTTGACATCAGCCTCCAAACAGATGAATCACAGTATTTGAAGGCGTGTTACATTTTCCTTGTATCTGTAAATAAATAAATCAAATTTGCATGCAAATTTGAAGATCCCACACATGAGACGACAAAACTCAGGTATCTGAGAGCCATTCTGAGGGACTTGTAGGTGCATACAACCTGGTGCAGCAATGTCAAAACACATCTCAGGTGACAAATGTTTTAGCTCTCCAAATATACCCAACCCCAGGAGTTAGAGAGAACATGAAGGAAGTAACAGACACCCCTTTTGATGATTTTGCCTATGGAAGAATCGAGACTCAGAATCAAGGAAATATATAGTTTTAAAACTGTGAAGGGACATTTGACATTATTTAGTTGTACCAGATATATACCATGTTTCCAAGTAATTTGAATGTTTTGTCCATAAAAAGTCAAGCATAGAAATTATTATTATTATTATTATTTAAAGATTTATTTATTTGTGCATACAGAACTGGGGTACAGGCCAGAGGCTCAGGGGTGGCAAGAGGCTTCACCAGAGACAGAGTGGGGAGCTGAACAGGCCGACTGATGAAGTACACTGCTGAGGGGAGCAGCGGGCGGGTCAGGAGAGGTCTGCCGCTCCATGTGCTCATCTTCAGGGCAGGCGGGGATCAAACTCATGTGGAAGTGGCTTTAGCTTCTCAGTGCTCTGCTTTAACCCGCTGCACCACCAGGGAGAGCCTAGAAATTATTTTTTAATTCTGTCATTTTAGACTTACAGAAAAATTTCAGAAAGAATGCAGAGAATTCCCAAATGATTCAAGTGCTAATATTTTAATATATTTGCTTTGTTCTTTTCTTTATGTGTGTGTATGTGACCTCTATATAAATACACACATGCTTTTTCTTTCTTGTGAAAACACTGAGAATGACTTGTAGATATCATGTCCCTTGATGCCTAAGAACTTGAGAAGCATGGACTATAAATATGTAACATTATACATATTTCAGACCTGCAGAAACCTTTGTTTCTAATTCAGGACCCACTGCACCATGATATTACTTAAGTAATTATTAAATAATTTTCAAGGAGAAGTTAATGTTGCCTGCATAAAAGTGAAAGCTAACACTGATAGCAGAAATCAGCCAGAATGAGCCTTGGATTGCTCATCTGCAAAGAGAAGAGACAGTATTCATTGCATGCATTGTAAAGGTCAAAGGTATTCATATTTGTAAAATGCTAGAACAATGTCTACACTTAGCGAGCCAG